TGTCCTCGGGGGTTGGGCTGGGGGAGGCAGAAGAGGTGACCACCTTGGTTGCTTCAAAAAAATCACACAAAGTACAGAACCTGCAAGCTATCCTGTTCATTAATAAGGGGGGGAGGGGGGGGGGGGGGTTGAATAAATTGATACATTTTTCGGTTCCGTTGCGGTGACCGTCTCGCCATGTGGGGTTCGATCATAGATGCCGGAACATGGATGTTGGACGGTGTGATAAATAGATTACTGGCTCTCTGCAGATAAAAATGTGTTTTGATTGTACAATTCCATCCTATCTGGATTGCTATGTGTGTGGGCTGATCTGAGCCGGGCCAAGGGGTGGGCAGATGGGGCAGCCGCCTCGGGCGCTCCATCAGGAGGGGGCACAAAGAAGACCAGGAGCCTTTGCTGCTGAGGTAGTTCACAGCTCACATGGCAGGGGGCGCACTTTGGCCTTTTCTGACTATAATTATCGGTCACTGGCATACATGGAATGGAAACGAAACATCCAATCCCGGCCAATCAGATTGTAAGATGGCAGTATCCCGCTCCGGGTCCTGCCCCCTGCATTGGTGACATCACTGGCGGCGTCCGAAGCGTCGCTGATGTGCGTTTCCTGAAATGTTTTTATCGTCCCCAATACAGATAATCGATGGCGGCCGCACGTTCTTGTCACCGAGTATCGCCGCCGCCTTCTCCTCACTATCTATAGATCTGTAGATCCGGAAATGAAGCTGAGCTGCTGAAAGTCTTGTGATCCCCACCAGCCAATGTACCCCGAGTATTGATCATTTATTACTGATCAGCCCGGCCCGAGTCCCCGCGGTGCGCACTCCTATCATACTCCACCTCTCGGCCGCCATGATGTGAAGGGGGACCTGTCATTCCTGACACATCGCCGTCCGCAGCACACAGAGATCCACCTTCTGTCATTAGAGCGCCAGTGACTCTGCCTGGGCCGGGATGATGTCATCCGTCTGCTGCAGGTAGGAGGAGGCGTTTCCTCAGTCTCCCCTCCCCCAGTGATCAGACTGTACATTGTAACTTTGTAGGAAGTCACAAGGTGAGAGGCTACAGCAGGGGCTGATCTGTGTCAGACATGTGTGAACACCGCTGGGAAGTGTACAGGGATCAGGATTTCCATGATGGTGTCATCTCTGATCTGGCATCTCAGTCCAGGAAGTAGATGGTGACCCCGGATGATGCCTGAACAGAGATGGCGCCGTCCCTCCTGGAGCTGAAGGTGTTGGGGGGGGTCCAGGGATCTCTGGGAGAGGTAATAATACCTGGAGGGGTCACACTGACACATTTCCTGTAATGTGATGAGAGCCATATGATGACAGGTCCACATTGATTCTCTGCAGCATCCCGAGCGCAGACTCCATGCAGCTTTCTGTATACATAAAAAAGCATCAAAATCCGATTTTTTTTTTTTTTTTTCCCCACTGCTGAGTACTTGGCAGTCCATATTGTGGGCGCAGTACATGGCGATCGATTCAGACGTGGCCCCTCGCCGTCCTCCTGACCGCCGTCCCTCACTCCATGCGTCCGTCCCTCACTCCATGCAATGTAGACTTTGTTCTGGCTCCGGCCCCCTCGCGTGACCTTGAGTGAGTTCTTGTGTAGAGGGAGAAGGATGAGACGGCAACATAGCAACAGGAGGATTCCCCCCCCCTCCCCCGATCCCCCTGATTCCCCCGATCCCCCCTGATTCCCCGATCCCCCTGATTCCCCCGATCCCCCTGATTCCCCCCGATCCCTGATTCCCACGATCCCCCCCTGATCCCCCTGATCCCCGATCCTTGTGTCCGGGGAAATTCATTATTATTATTTATTATATATATATATTTATTTAGTTTTTTTTAATTTTTAGTTTTTTTATTCTCAGGACAGATTGGACTTCATCCGGTGGGATGGGAACCGATTTCCTGATTTTATTATAAAAGGAAAATCGGCACAAAATATATTTTTTTTGCCCCCCCCCCCCCCCCCCGAACTGCCCCGCTGCTGACATTCCCAGCGCCGTCACATATGGGGGTGTCTGGTGTAGCGATGGTAGTCGGGTCCAGAAATAGTGGGGAGCAGTTTACTTTAACAAGTAAGTCAGGGGTCTCCAAACTGCAGCTTGTGCGCCAGATGTGGCCCTTTGCTTGCTGTTATCTGGCCCTCAGGACACCATTAAATGGGGCGCCCCCTCTTCCCGTGACACCCAGCAATGGGGCGCCCCTCTTCCCGTGACACCCAGCAGTGGGGCGCCCCTCTTCCCGTGACACCAGCAGTGGGGCGCCCCTCTTCCCGTGACACCAGCAGTGGGGCCCCTCTTCCCGTGACACCAGCAGTGGGGCGCCCCTCTTCCCGTGACACCAGCAGTGGGGCGCCCCTCTTCCCGTGACACCAGCAATGGGGCGCCCCTCTTCCCGTGACACCCAGCAATGGGGCGCCCCTCTTCCCGTGACACCCAGCAATGGGGCGCCCCTCTTCCCGTGACACCCAGCAATGGGGCGCCCCTCTTCCCGTGACACCAGCAGTGGGGCGCCCCTCTTCCCGTGACACCAGCAGTGGGGCGCCCCTCTTCCCGTGACACCAGCAGTGGGGCGCCCCTCTTCCCGTGACACCAGCAGTGGGGCGCCCCTCTTCCCGTGACACCCAACAGTGCAGTGGGGGGCCCCTCTTCCCGTGACACCGAACAATGGGGCGCCCCTCTTCCCGTGACACCAACAATGGGGCACTATTCCCACTGACACCAAAGTTGGAACACTTTTCCTCCCGCTGACTCTGGGGTGTTTTCTACTTTGTCCACAGTTCAGCCCCCCTGAAGATTGAAGGACCGTAAACCAGTCCTTTTGTTTAGAAAGTTTGGAGACCCCCCTCCCCCCCCTGGCCTAGATCAGGGGTCCCCAAACTACGGGCCTCAGGGGTCTCCAAACTACGGGCCACGTGCAGCCCGCCACAAAATTTTTATCCAGCCCACAGCTGATGTACCCATCCTCCGCTCTGATGGGGACTGTTGTACAGAAGGACTCTGTTGGGGACCCTGATGAAGGGGGGACTCTGGACACCGTGATGTAACCAGGAGCTTCGATGGAAACGAGCACCTATGCGCAGAACTACATGGAGGGGAAGGGCCCCGGGGCCCACTTATTTCCATTCTGTTCTGTGCTGGCAGGGTAATTGGCTCCTGTCTATATACAGCATGCATGAATGGGAGTTGGAGACTTGAGATTGTACGCTCCTCGGGGGCGGGGACTGAGGGATGTACAATTTTTATGTAAAATAACAGCGCCATAGAAGTACCTATAATACAGAAAAATGAATGTTTTCACACAACTTTCCAATGGAATTCACTGAAAATAATCTGTGACACCCTTTGGGTGAAAGTTGTCAGAGTTCTGAGCGGTTCAGTCATCCTACAACCGTTTGCTGGGGCAGCGAGTCTTCTGCCTGGATGACTCCTGCTGTATAGAACCATCGTTCACACGTGAGAGATTCTTATGAAGTAATCCTTCCTTGTCTTGTGTACATCCAGAATTAGAGTGCAAGCTCATAGGGTTCCCCTCCTGCATCGTGCGGCTGTTTATTATCTCCTCATCATCGCCACGTAATATTTATATACCCAGCAGGAGGAGAGCGATCCCTTCTGTCACCTGACAACTGAAATGTTGGTGACTCCATATTGCCCCAAGTATTGGGCCACCGGCCTCTCCACACACATGACCTTTAATGACTCCCAGTCTTAGTCTGTAGGGTTCAGTATTGAGTTGGCCCCGCCCTTTCCAGGCACATGACCTTTAATGGTCCCCCAGTCTTAGTCCGTAGGGTTCAATATTGAGTTGGCCCCGCCCTTTCCACACACATGACTTTTAATGGCCCCCCCAGTCTTAGTCCGTAGGGTTCAATATTGAGGTGGCCCCGCCCTTTCCCACACATGACCTTTAATGGCCCCCCAGTCTTAGTCCGTAGGGTTCAATATTGAGTTGGCCCCGCCCTTTCCAGGCACATGACCTTTAATGGCCCCCCAGTCTTAGTCCGTAGGGTTCAATATTGAGTTGGCCCCGCCCTTCCCACACACATGACCTTTAATAGCCCCCCAGTCTTAGTCCGTAGGGTTCAATATTGAGTTGGCCCCGCCCTTTGCAGCTATAACAGCTTCACCTCTTCTGGGAAGGCCGTCCACAAGGTTTAGGAGGGTGTCTATGGGAAGGTTGGACCATTCTTCCAGAAGCACATTTGTCAGGTCAGGCACTGATGTCGGGGGAGGAGGCCTGGCTCGCAGTCTCCGCTCTAATTCATCCCAAAGGTGTTCTATGGGGTTGAGGTCAGGACTCTGTGCAGGACAGTCAAGTTCCTCCACCCCAAACTGGCTCCTCCATGTCTTTATGGACCTTGCTTTGTGCACTGGTGGGCAGTCATGTTGGAACAGGAAGGGGCCATCCCCAAACTCCTCCCACAAAGATGGGAGCATGAAATTGTCCAAAATGTCGCCTTAAGAGTTCCCTTCACTGGAACTAGGGGGCCAAGCCCAACCCCTGAAAAACAACCCCACACCATAATCCCCCCTCCACCAAACTTTACACTTGGCACAATGCAGTCAGGCAAGTACCGTTCTCCTGGCAACTGCCAAACCCAGACACGGCCATCGGATTGCCAGATAGAGAAGCGTGATTGGTCACTCCAGAGAACATGTCTCCATGCTCTAGAGTCCAGTGGCGGCGTGCTTTACACCACGGCATCCGACGTTTTGCATTGCACTTGGTGATGGAAGGCTTGGATGCAGCTGCTCGGCCATGGAAACCCATTCCATGAAGCTCTCTACGCACTGTTGTTGGGCTCATCTGAAGGCCACACCAAGTTTGGAGGTCTTTAGCTATTGACTCTGCAGACAGTTGGCGACTTCTGCGCACTGTGCGCTTCAGCATGCGCTGACCCCGCCCTGTCATGTGACGTGGCCTACCACTTGGTGGCTGAGTGGCTGTTGTTCCCAGTGGCTTCCACTTTGTTATAATCCCACTAACAGTTGAGCGTGGAATATTTAGTAGCCAGGAAATGTCACGGATGGACTTATTGCCCAGGTGGCCACCTATCACGGGACCACGCTTGGGAGTCACTGAGCTCCTGAGAGCGACCCATTCTTTCACCAATGTTTGTAGAAGCCGTCTGCATGCCTAGGGGCTTGATTGTATACACCTGTGTCCATGGAGGGGATTGGAGCACCTGAATCACATGATAGGGAGGGGATTGGAGCACCTGAATCACATGATAGGGAGGGGATTGGAGCACCTGAATTACATGATATGGAGGGGATTGGAACACCTGAATCACATGATATGGAGGGGACTGGAACGCCTGAATCACGCGATTATGGAGGGGACTGGAACGCCTGAATCACGCGATTATGGAGGGGACTGGAACGCCTGAATCACGCGATTATGGAGGGGACTGGAACGCCTGAATCACGCGATTATGGAGGGGACTGGAACGCCTGAATCACGCGATTATGGAGGGGACTGGAACGCCTGAATCACGCGATTATGGAGGGGACTGGAACGCCTGAATCACGCGATTATGGAGGGGACTGGAACGCCTGAATCACGCGATTATGGAGGGGACTGGAACGCCTGAATCACGCGATTATGGAGGGGACTGGAACGCCTGAATCACGCGATTATGGAGGGGACTGGAACGCCTGAATCACGCGATTATGGAGGGGATTGGAACGCCTGAATCACGCGATTATGGAGGGGATTGGAACGCCTGAATCACGCGATTTGGGGGCGGAGACAATACTTTGTGCAATTTAATGTACATGTCTGTTTTTATAGAAAAATATCATTTTAATTATAAAAGTAATATTAGACCGTTCCAATACGAGGATTAGGAGGGCCTTGCCCATGGAGCTTACAATCTAAAGGGATGAAGATATTATCATGATGTGTTAGAACAGTTCAGTTCAGTTCTGGCCCCGGGTCCAATATTTCTGTATATAAGGTCCAGGACGCACATCGCGGCATTCTATATACTTCACATTACAGAGATGGCGGTAAGGCCGCGCTGTCATCTGGGCGGAGCAGATGAATGGTGCTCCATAATGGGACCCCACACACAGGTAGCAGTCCCGTGTCTTGTCACGCGTGGTCCGTGCTACAACATGCGATCTTCATGCGTTTCACAAACCACACTTCTCTCTCGGCTCCTAGATTTGGTACGTGGGCTTCTTTGGGGCATTTTTGGACAGAGACGGGCGGATCTCATCCAATGTCTATCTAGAGACGGGCAGATCTGATCCAGCGTCCGTCCGGAGACGGGCAGATCTGATCCAGCGTCCGTCCGGAGACGGGCAGATCTGATCCAGCGTCCGTCCGGAGACGGGCAGATCTGATCCAGCGTCCGTCCGGAGACGGGCAGATCTGATCCAGCGTCCGTCCGGAGACGGGCAGATCTGATCCAGCGTCCGTCCGGAGACGGAGATCTGATCCAGCGTCCGTCCGGAGACGGGCAGATCTGATCCAGCGTCCGTCCGGAGACGGGCAGATCTGATCCAGCGTCCGTCCGGAGACGGGCGGATCTCATCCAATGTCTCTCTAGAGACGGGCGGATCTCATCCAATGTCTCTCTAGAGACGGGCGGATCTCATCCAATGTCTATCTAGAGACGGCAATATAAATATGATGTTGGAGATGAATTCTATATACGTATTGATGGGGGGGGGGGGGGGTGCCGTGGCAGAGGGGGGGGTGCTGCGGCAGAGGGGGGGCATAATGGCATTCATATATTAGGCCTGGAAGGCAGAAATGGCGGGTCCTGG